CTAGGAGGCTAGAGCCAATGTGGCCCATGCCTCCCCTTAGAAAGGGTTAACTTCCCTAGGCAGAGTTAATCTATCAACTCTTTTTCCCTCTTTCTTCCCATAAACAGGGCTCTCAGACTCAAAGAAGGAAGAAAGACACTCAGGTTCTAAATGTTGAAGGGCTTCCCCTCTACTTTCTCTCTCTTTTCCCTCTATTGCTCAGGGCCCCAAAGCAATATATACAAAAAGAGGCAAAACAGGACAAATACAAAAACTTTCCTAAGTACTAGGACTAAACTGGGGAATCAGGGACTACAGAGGTAGTGAATCCCTTTGGCTCTCAACCTAACTACAACCTTTTAGTTAGCTGTTATCAGTCACACAGTGCATTTTGGGTTCTACCTGTCTTATTACTTTTTTGTTATTTTTCAGTTGGTTCAGAAGTTGGGAAGGGAACAGAACTCTTTTAAAATAAAAGTTTTTATCAAACCTTTCCTCCCCCAACAGACCTCAAAACTAAATTGGGAATCACTACCCTAATCTATCAAACCTGTCACCTTAATGAAAACTCCTTCACATCTCTGACTTAATGGCTCCAAAGACATTGCTAGACAGAGAAGTCTGGCTCTGAAGACAAATGCAGTGACAGGGATTACTGGGGGGTGGGGAGGGAAAAAGATATCTCAGTGCCAGCGTGAGAGCGGGTACATAGTTCATGGTGAGTAGCCACAAAGAGGTAGATGAGGAAATGAGAAGTCTTTAGATATTCTTACCTTGTAACTTTATATATCTACATTCAAAAAATGCTAGAAAAAAAATTTCTTGAATTTATCTTTGAAAAAACTTAAAAATACTTTCAATTATTTACACACTTGAGTCACAACATCCTTGGGAGATAGTTGAGAATATAATATTGTCATAAACAAATATCATGGTCTGGTTACTATCCACAGGGCTCAGTTCTGAGCATTAGAGAAATTTTTTAAAAAGATGAAAAAGAAATATGTGGTTCTGAATGTTGAAGAGCTTCTTCTCTACCTAGAAAGACTGCTCAGGCCCCCAAAGTAATACAGTTATCACAAGTGGAAATACAGGGCAAGTGTCAAATGAATGGCAAAGATTTTCAAAAACGCTTCCAGAGCTCAGAGGGAAAAAGCATTGGCTGAAACAAGAGAGCTTACAGTGGTTTCATGACAGATTTGATAGATGGGAAGTAAAAGGGCATGTTAAAGCTCCAAGTGCAGAGTGGTGGAGAAACTGCAATAAGAAACTCTACCCTGGTAGAAGCTCCTGGTGGGAAGGAAATGGGCACCGTATGTCTTTGTACAGCCTACTGCACCTGGCACCACGTACTGTAACCTATGAAATGGACACTCTGCCTCCCTGGGTCTCACACTGCTCCTTGTCACTGCCCATCTTCCCGATAGGAGCAGCTGACCACTAGAAAAGGGTCTCCCCACTGTGCAGATGTGACACAGCCACCCTGCTACAGGGAGGGGAGGAACAGCACAAACTCTCCACCTATTCCTGATTGCTGAGGCAGAGGTGCTCAGCTCAGCTGGCACATCTGAAGCCTGCAGAATGGTGCTACCCATGTCATCTGCTCCCTCATCAACTTCCAAGCTGGATGGGGCCAGAGGCAAGTGTTAATAGCAGGGGTAGATAGCAGCGATGACAAACACATTCCCCACACTATCGCAGGCCCCAGGAGAGAAGGCAGGGGAGGAAAAGCAGAGTAATGAAAGGGGGTAACAAGGCTGTGCTCGCCCTGCCCAGGACACACTGGCTGCCACGGGCATTATATTTTTCTGGCTGCATAGACATGTTGCTATGGAACCCATACATGCTATTCCACTTGGCCTCTAGCAAATAAAACACAGTGCTCGTAAGAGTGTTTCACTGGTTTCCCTTAAAGGAACACCATGGATGGTGAGTGCTATTTGAGCTCAGAAACAAGAGCGGCATTGTTGCCAGGACCCAGCCTGCTGTGTACTGTGGAACCCAGTGACTCATGTTTTATGGGGTATACATGCATGAGCTGCTTTTGGCTATTTCTTTTTTTTTTCTTTGAGTGCTGGGAATCAAACCCAGGGCCTCATGCATGCTATTCAGGTGCTCTACCACTTGAGCTGTGCCCCCAGCCTCTGAGCTTCAATTTGGAGAAAATAAATCTCATGGCTTCAGTATGTGTTTGGTTTCCCCTGATTTGGTGAAAAGCAAATGGCTTATAATATTTTGCATAAAAATTTGATGTCTTGAGAATCAACATCAAACTACCCATGACCACATCTGGGAACCAAAGGTTCCCCAAGTGTTCTACATGAGTTTAGGTGGTCCTTCTGGGTCCTTCTTTCACCCTTTACCATTTCTTGCCTCACCCCTCTCTACCACTTCATTCTTTACCCAAAGAATAGTACAATATCCGTATAGAGTTTGGCATGTCTCCCCTTTCCTAAGGCTTTTTAATTGTCCCATAGTTTTAGTCTAACTAATTTTTAAATTTTTTCATTTATTTTTGGCAGTATTGGGCATTGAACCCAAGGCCTCATGCATCCTCGGCAAGTATTCTACCACTCAAGCCATGACCACAGGCTATTTGTTTTCATTTTGTTTTTGAGAAAGGTTCTCACTACCTCTTTGCCCAGGTTGGCTTCAAACTTAAAATGTCCTGCTTCTGCCTCCCAAGTAACTGGGCTACTTAATCTCTCAATTCCATAGAAACCTTTGGATTCCCCAGAGAGCATCATTCTCCAAGTTCCACATGATATTGTAGCACACTCTAGGGATACATCTTTTGGGCTTTTCTTGGATAAGATGAAGAAATGAAAACCCTAAGTCCAGACTTTGCTATAGTTTGGGTTTCAAATGTACCCACAGGCTCATAGGTTAAAGGGTTGGTCCCCAGTCCTTGGTGTTATTGGAAGCAGAGGTGGAGTCTACTAGAAGGAAGTTAGGTAATATGGTGGTGTGCCTTTGAAGGAGATATTGGGATTCAAACTCCTTCCTGTGTCACTGTGATGTGACAGCTTAATTTACTATGTATTCCCCTTTGTGATGTTCTGCCTGGCTACAGGCCCAAGCAATGGGGCCAACCAACCATGAACTGAAACCTCCAAAACTGTCAGTCAAAACAAACCTTTCCTCTTTGTAAGTTGGTTATCTCAGGTATTTTGTCACAGTGATGGAAAGCAAACTAATACATACTTTGAATGCATACACATTGCTATGAACCTGGCAAAGGTAGACAGGTGAGATCAATATCAGAGTGATAAACAGAGGATCCCTCAGTAAGTCACTGTGTTCTAAATTCCCCTCAGCACATTGGTGGATACCAGACTACCAGACTACCTCTGTTTTGTTTGTTTGTTTGTTTGTCTGTTTTTTTGGTGGGACTGGGGTTTGAATTCAGGGCTTTATGCTTGCAAAGCAGGCACTTTATCGCTTGAGCCTCACCTCTAGTCCATTTTGCAATCCCAGGCTATCTTTGTATGAGGATGAGACACTTATCAAGTTCCATAACAATGACTCCAGTTAGCACAGAAAAGTAGCTCATGTTTGTTAAGAAAAAGCAATTTAGTTGACAAACATGATAAAATAATGGACACAGGCTCTTAATGTTTAGACCAATCCTTAGATGAAAGAAATATTTTACAAATAAGTATCCCTAGCTCACCAACCTAAATGAACAGGACCAGAGCACAGAATTCCTTGAAAGAACCATGGGCAAGTCCACCTTCCCAAATGTCAATGGAGGATCCTGTTCTTACACTGGTCTCCATCTCACTGCATGACTGCATTCTTTCTATAGAGAACAGATGTTTCTCGGAAAGTCTCAATGATAGCAGCTCAAGTGTACACTGCCGTACAAGAATCCTGTTGGCCATTACTATGAAAGTGCAGGCAGCCCTTGGGTGGGGAGGAGCTGGGAATGGTCTGCGGCTGGCCAGCGCACACCTGCAGGTGTGCTGTGATCTCTAGCTGCAAAACAGATGCGCCACCCAATCTCAGCACGTGATGATGGGGCCCTGCAAAGGCGGTGGTTTGGAAAGAACACAAGGGAAAATACGCCCTCTGATACAAGGTCCATCACAGAGGCACTGTGGGTGCACCCACTGTGCCAACCCCTCCTAGAAGTTGCAAAGTCTGATTACTAGGAAGTCAAACAGTCAAACAGCACCACTCCTGACATTTGCTTCAGGGGAAAAGACGGTTACCGTTAGTTTATTTGTCCTACATTAAAGTTGAATCACCTATATAAATCCATGCCCTTGGAGAAAAGCTATGGATACAAAAATCAGCTTTGTGTAGAATGAAAACCGTGCAGCTGGGCATCAAATGCCTCTCACATTCCTGGCCCTGCCACTCTCCATGAACAAGTGACTTGAAGCCCCCTGAGCCTCAGCTGCCTCATCTGTACATGGGCCTTTGCCAGACAGGCTTAAAAATCCCATCTACTTTTCATGTCCTATCATTCTTTGTCATGGTATTCATCAGTTAGCACAGCCACGTGAACAAAACAGATGGTTTCTCTTTGCTTATGGCCAGATCTCTGTACGCCCATCACTGAAGGAAAGAAACTTCCTCTTTCATCCTCTCTGTGAGCTGAAAAAGGTAACATAAACAATAATGACAACCCATGAGAGGCAAAACTGGGAACTGCAGAAAGAAATAGCAGAAAAAGCTGGATATGGTAGTGCATGCCTATAATCCCAGTACTAGGAGGAGGATCATGAGTTTGAGACTAGCCTAGAATACATAGTGAGACACTACCCCCAAAACCCCAAACAAAGCAACAGCAGACAAAAAGAGAAATGGCAGAACAATCTATAAAGAAAACCATCCTTTCTAAGGGGCCCAGTGATAAGAAGAGTTGAAGAATAGGAGAAAATCCATCTTGCTTCCCAGTGGAAAAATACTTCTTGAGAACACATGTTACCAGACACTTTTTCTTGGAGCCTCACAGCATTAGATAAACTTTTGATAAGGGTAAAAATATATGGTGGATTTAAAGGAACACTCACCCTCTGCAAACAGCACGTTGGTTTCTTTTCACCGAGAAAATTTTGGTCTAACTTCTTTGGAAAACTAGAAGAGAAGAAAAGATTTAAGAAAACAATATGAGGTTCATTTGTTATGTCAGCACAGTGAGGCCCAGGGAGAAGAAGGAACTCCACCCCCTAGCTCTGTGGCACCTAGTAGGCACACAGTAAACATCTGAAGAACGGTGGATGTTTGCTCATTTGGCTGACTACAGGAATTTAAAAACAGAGCTCTAAACAATCAGTGTGCAGAACCAATCACATGCATGATTCATTTGCCATGAGATGCATGGTACATCTGGTAAATAATTTTTAGGCATCCCTTTTAATGTCTTGTCTGGCATGCCTACCATAGGACCAACTAAAGATGTCCGAATAAATATTCAGAGGCTATCCCACTTACTGAACTTTATTCTTTCCCAAATGGTAGACCCATAAGTCTGTAATTAGGATCATATGGGAACGTGGACTTGACAGAGTGGTTGGAGACCACCTATCAAGCCGGCTGAGTAGTCCCGTGAGAAGGCTATGGTGTCTGAGATACTGACTGGCAGCTCAAGTGTGGGAAAGAACCAAGATGAAGTGAGTGTGGGGCAGAGGAAGGCTGAATGGTAGAGGCAGATAAGAGAGAGATACCAGAAGACTGTTTTAGGAGCTCAGCTCAAGATTCCACTGTTGAAAACTTCACAGACTGTTTTAGAGATGCCTTTGTAGGTCTAGGAGGGGATGTGAGACAAAGCTCTTCCAGCTCCCAGAGTCCCACTGGCAAGTTTCACATGATACCAGAGCCTCTGGGGTTCATTCTACCAAGTGGAAGATGTCCACTGCTTTTCAGCCCTTTTCCGAAAGGAAGGAGATGGCATGGCCACTGGGGCCATGTGTAGACTCTCTTCTTAGAATGTCCCACCAGCCTCAGTTTCTCAGTATCTGAAAGGCATGTCTTAAAGTCCCATGTGTTCAAGGGATACCCACTGTTCTCTCAGATTGTCCTAGGACAGGTGAGGCCTCTTAAGACAATGTCATTCTGGCTATCAAGAATGCCATGGCTTAATTGAAAAGACAGCTGGAAACGATGCAGGCAGTGAAAGATGGTACATGTTGGCAACACCTGTGATACCATCTTCTTTTTAAAGCCACACTTCATAATCCACTCACACACATGGACCTTTTCCTCCTAATGACAGACAAGATGTCTACAGGATGAATAATAAAGACCACAAAAGCAGAGTTCAGCGTCAGAACCAAGTCTGTGTCTCAGCTCTGTCGCTTCCTACCTGTGCTGTTCTAGTGATGGAAACACTCAGCTCTTTCCCTATTTACATAATGGCAATAATAATGCCTGTTTCATACATTGTTTCCAGTTCTTACTGTAGCACTTGGCACTTAGAAGAGACTTAATAAAAAGAAAAGCCTTTATAACTATTTGGCCCAAGACATTTACATATCTGTAACAATAGGAGAGGCTCAGAAGATATTTTCATAATTTTATAATTTCTCTTAATGTGAGTACCTGCACTACATTCTCTTTTTCCCTGTGCCATCCCCAAATTAGGTGAGACAAATAAGAATAAAATACAATTGCTTACTATAGAACAATTAGATAAAAAAGATGGGGAAAAAACCTGAATAACAGAGATAAACAAAAGGAACCTTATAAACATTTTAATAAATAAGGCTCTTGACTCTCTTGCCTACCCAAGGACAGAAAGTATACTGTACACACTTACAGAAATGAATTTGTACATATGTACACAATTTGTTTACAACATACTGAGTATTCATATTATTTTGCTGCCTGATAATATTTTATCAGCTATATTGGAAACCTCTTTTAACATCAATGAATCTATCTACATCATAATTTTTAAGGACGGCAAGAGTATTGCTTGGGAAGAATGAACCAATAAATATTTATTTGTTGAATTTACAGAATCTACCAAAGTATCCATATTTATGAGCAATGACTACACACTGTGGTAGCATGTGTGTTCTTTCTCATCTACATTTTCTTCAAGATCCAGAGAGGCAGATTGCATAAATATAATAAGCCTTAACAGCAAAAAATTGTTTTGGTTTGAGTGGGTGTATCTTAGAAGAATACAAACTAACATATATACCACAGAGAATAAATCACAAATCACAATATTCAGTGGGCATCCCATGTATTGAAAAGGGACACAATTTTAAAGACTAAAGTTAATAGTAGATAGGGTTGCCTATTTCAGCTACAAAATTGTAAGTCTGAAGTTACGAGTGTCCCTGTTCTGCCCAATCATCATGGAATTACTTAACAATACAGATAGTGGCAAACTGAACATCGTAGAGTCTTGAATAGCCCTAGAAATTCAGTCATTGACAAGTTCAAAACCTACGAAAAGAAAATCAGGACTTACAGCATATTTAGAAGGTACCAAAAGTGGGAATGTTTCTGCAATGTCATTATTTCTAGTCTAATTTTCTTCTCAGAGAGAAGTCAATTATGTAAAGCCTATGTGATATGGTTTGTGAATTATATAACATGTCCCTGTCCTCCAATAAGAAAACTGTGCCACACCTCTAACAGTAACCTGCAACACTTCAGGAAAATACCACTTTTGAGGGAGGCTGGGGGAATGCGTCTATCCCCACAATCGCAGAGGGTTTGGAAGCAATTCCTCCTCTAGCTACAAATGCAGCTAATGTTTTCTGAGTACTCCCAACATGGTTCCCATCAGCAGGATGGAGGTAGAGGGGGGCCTAGCAGGGAGCAGCAAAGGAAGACAGGACACACTGAGGCAGCAGAGAAATACCCAATCAGGTACCTACTGAAAAATCACAGAGACAAAAGTGGAAAAGACAAAGTAGAGAAACGAAGTTTGATTTGTGAATCCTGAGTCCACAGGAAATGACATGAAATCACTGAGCTCTTGGCACACTCCCTTCCACACATGTTCCATAATTGTTTCATCCCTAGTTTAGCTTATGCAACTTTTAGGAAGAGTGACAATTTTTGGTGGGGGTCATGCTGTTAAAACAATGTTCTACTGTTCTATTTTGACTGTGTGGAAAAGAATCAACATTGGGAGATAAGAACCCAGATCTTAAGTTTCAGCACTGGACAAGATCAGAGAGAGCCTCTTGACAGCTTGTGCCAGGGAGCTGCTATATCATGGAATATGAACTGAGCTACTTTTCACAAATCTTTTTTGGATGGTACAATTCAGATGCTGGTGAGATGCTGCTTGATCTAGCAATGAACTTCTTATAGGGACAGAGGTTTTGCTTTTCCCAACTCAGTTGGCAACTGCTTTCTCCATGAAGTGAGGAGCAGTGTGTTGTATATTGTCCATTTTATGCATTCAAAGATAAATTTACCTTCAAAGGGTCCTCTGCATCCTTTGAAGGTATTCATGGGATGGGTCATAACACATCTTCTACAGCAAACCTAGCCAAGAAAAGCTGTGGTTTAGATTCTAACATCCATATCCAGTTATGTGTCTCTGGTAAATATGACCAAGCCAGGAAAACTGTGCTGGCACTAAAAGTCTCACAGTTGTAGTATGCTTTGAGTCTACTGATTTTTGAGACTTTCATCTTACCTTTTGCTATAATTTGCATCTAAAGGACCATGTGTTGGAAACTTGGTCCCAGAGTGGTGCTGTTGGAGTGGTGGAACCTTTAAGAGGTAAGGCCTAGTGAGAGGTTCTCAGATCACTGAGGATGTTCCCTTGAAGAGATTGTGGGGCCTCAGTCCCTTCTTCTCCCCTTTTGTGCTCCCTGTTCACGAGGTGATTAGTTCTGCTCTGTCATTCACTGCTTGGCCATAGGCCCAAAGGAATGGGACTAATTGATCATGGAAAGGGGATGGAACCTTCCAAACTGTGAGCCGAAAGAAACATTTTCTCTTTAGAAGTTCATTATCGCAGGTGTTTGTTACAGTGGCAGAATTCTAAAACACCAATGTATCATCCTGAGAAAGCATCAGATTCCTTACCAGTAGTTACTCCCATTTACTGAGTGGCTGATTTCTGCTGACACATTTTTATCTATTATCTGCAATCCTAGTAAGATCTCTGTCAAATGGGTTCTATGAGCCCCATTACACAGATAAAGAAAACAAGACTCAACCAAAGTAACCTATCCAGATCACATAACTAGGATGTTGCTTTTAGCCAAAGAGAAGAGATAAGTTTCCTAGCAATACAAACATAGGTTTTTACATTTAAGACTCCATACTTAGGAATTCTGTCAAACACAAAAAAGTAAGAGCTTGCTTTCACTAAGTAGGCAGTCATTTCTTTTTCAGGTAATTTTTGGGAGTAGCAAGCAACAATGCTAGGACAAAAGTTACCCATGGCATTTAGTGGAGAGGCGTGCACTAGCAGCCCAATGGGTGCGAGGCAAGTGCTCTCCAGGCAGAACAGCAGGACTAAAGTGCTGACAGTTGCAACGACACAAAATGTAGCCTTGGCAAGTCAGTCTAACAATTACTTTGCATCATTCTGATTATGAGCCACAAGCATGCAATCAACAGCAGAGACAATCTTAAATGATCTCCATCAGCATTTTACTTTAGTTATCAAAGCGTGGCAGATTGAATGCTCTCCTCTGACCTAAACGCAATGTTAATAACCCAAACACAAAGAATGTGCAAGAATGAGAATGGCACAAAAGCACTGGCCTCGTTGGAGGCCATGGGTTATAATGGATGAATTTTATTTCATTTGACTCCTTCATTTATTATCTCAGAGCAACTAAATGTTATTTATGTGTTTCTCCTCTGATAAATTTATGCACAATCTAACTCAATTGAAATTGAGTTAAGACTTAAGTAAGTTCACAGACTTCCTATATACAGCTCTATAGGGAGCACTCTTCAGATTCCATGGTAAATTTTGTAGGTCCTCACTGACTTCCAAATTTTGATCCAGCCAAGACAACATAAGCTTTATATCACTTATCTCCACATGTCCAATTCCTAGCCCAGTCCTGGCATCTATGGTTGATATTCAGAATACACAGAAATGTGTGAATTTTCATCAGATCACAAAGAAAGGAGCATGCTTA